TGCTCTTTGGGAAGTTGTGACTATTCACCCACGTAGCTTATTCCCCTCTTGGGCCAGCCGCTGTCTCCCCTCCCAGTGAGAGGGTGTAATCAGGAGATTGTGACTGTCCATTTCACCTTCAGCATGGTAATCAAGACTCAGGAAACAGGAGACAGCAGTACAGAGTCCCAGCCTGTAAGTTCCCTGAGGACAGCATCATAAATCCTGGCACTCTACAAGTTGTATTCTGCTGGGCTTTGTCCCAGATCACAATAATGCTTCACACGGCGTCTCTCCTGGTTTGGCAGGAAAACAGGAAAGAAAAGGGCAGGTGTGGTTCCATGTGTTTGGGTGGGAGAAGAGTCGGCGTGACAGAGCGTAAATGAGCCGGTGCTGGGCTGGCCATGCAGCTTGAGACCGTGCAGCGAGCAACGTCAGACGTGATTGGGTTTAAAGCTACTTAAAGACGAATTAGATCCTGTGGATGGTGCCAGAATTCATCACCTCAGGCTGGCCCAGAAATAGAGCTCCTGGATCGAACCACACAGGGAGAGCAGGCACGAAATAGAAATGGAAGATTGCCAGACCCACAAGGAGGCCCTTTCGCAGCTAGGCCCTTTCCATAGTACTGTTCCTTCAGCTTACTTGTAGAGCACCCTTCACCCAAGAACCTCAAATGCTGGCTAAACCCCAACACCCCAGGGCAGGAGGTCAGTACCAGTACCTCCATTTTACAGAGCAGTAAGACACGCCACAGAAAGGCAAAGAGACTTGCCAAAGGACACAGAATCAGTAGCAGAGCTGGGAATAAAAACTCACGAGTCTTGACTCCCAGTCCCTTGCTCTAACAAGCAGACCAGAGACTTTCCCAGGAGCCTGAGTCCCACTGACTTTCGGTGATTTCAATGGGAGTTAGGAGCCTAAGGAGCAGAACCTCAAAGGTATTTAGGAGCCAAAGCACCCTTGATTTTCAATGAGACTGACATTCCTAAATCACTTCTGAAAGTTTTACCCTTAATCTTTTGGTGCCTCTGTTCCCCCCCATCTCTAAAGTACGTCTGAGAACATCCCCTTCAGGGCAGGGACCACCTCTCACTCTATCTGTACAATGGGACCCTGATCTCACTTGATGCCTCTAGGGGCTACCAAAACAAACATATTATTATATCTGCACTGAACAGACATCCAGCTTTCCAGGGCACGGAATCTACGAGCTCTGGGTTTGATGTGACCTACAGCACTTCAACAAACACTAGTAATCAACAGCTAGGATTGTGATTTCTCCGGCAGCGGAAAGTGACTCCTCCATTACTTACCAGTGTAGCCCGTAGTGCATGGGGGCCTTGACTCCTGGGCACCTCCTTCCTAGAATGAATTAGAACTCGCAGGATTACCAGCCCTCACTACTCCATAGCAAGTCATATGGGATGTGGTTCTTTTCTTAAAGCCCCAGCTCCCGGAGTAAAGGGATTATGTGAAAAATCTCAGTTGATTTCATTTCATTTTTAAGTGTGTAGCCCTTCTGGTTGTGGGGAAGGGCTGGAAAACATGGCTCAAAAGGCTCAAAATCTTTTTTGGGGGGGAGAGGGGGACGGGGGGCAGAAGAGGCGGCAGGACCTAACTCATGATTATCACAAATCTCAAGTGCTTGATACTGTAAGGTGGCCTAGTGGTTAGAGAAGTAGACTGGGTTTTAGGACCATTGAGTTCTATTCCTGCCTCTGGTACTGGGTGACTGTGGGCAAGTCACTTCCTGTCTGTCCCTCACTTTCCAGATCTGTACATACAGGGATAATGATGCTGACCTCCTTTGTAAAGTGCTTTGAGATCTACGGAAGAGAAGGGCTAGGTAGCTCCAGGATTGGCATGGATGACTGCACAGAACAGAAGAGGCTGGACAAAGGAGAGGGTCCCAGGTCTGCAAGGAAATACTGCATTCTCTATACTGATTTACCTCTCGTCTCAGATGAGTAATAGGAATAAAAAGTCTTCCACTCTCCCCTCGTCTCCTGCTGTTCAAACACCTCCCTTCAGGAGTAGATAAATACATAATAGAAGAACTTTAATTTCCTTCGTGATCGGGGCAGGTATTTGGGTCTTGATATATTAGCGTTTGATGCTCTGGATAACTGTAGACTTCTGAGGGCCAGAAAGACGACATTAATGCATATGCGTGTCCACTTCTGGGTTTAATAAAAGCACCGGTGCTTTTAATCTTCTTTCAGCTCTGCCTCCTATTGAATTTCAATACGCTGGTGAGACAGTGAACCAGCTATACCACCAGCAGCTTCTCATTCAGAACTCCTTGGCTAGCAATTCCAATGGATGGGGGAGATGGAGCGCAGCCCTGATGCATTAGTTGTCTGCCACCCACGCATAGAATCTATTCTCACAACAATGAGGATAAGCAAAATATTCGAGAGTGGCTAAGTGCCTTCGGAGCCTGAGGATCCTAGGTCACTTAGGTGCTTCTGAAATTTCTGCCCTACTCGAAAGGCTAATAATATCTTCTCCCGCATCAAAGAAGAAGGTGACATGCCCTGCACCAGCGTGAGGGGGACTGGAGAAAGAAGGTCAGGTTTCAGGAGACCCCAGGAGTCCCAGAATGCAAGCTACAGGCCAGGCTGCTCCCAAACATCAGTCTCTTGGCAACACTGGTTTCTATGCATGCTTGTTGAAGATCTTTACCCCACGGCCCTGCCTGCTGCATCACTTTGTGCTAATGAAACACTGGAATGAGTAGAATTTTGTAAGGTTGCATTAGCCCGATGATGACCTTATGCAAGTGTCGTGATGGAACTGAGATTGTCAAGCAGCCAGAGAGAACTGAAATACTAGTAGAATTACAGGAACAGCTGGTTGGCTCCATGGAGATGAATATGGGAGGCAGTGTTGTCTAGTGGCTAAAGCTAGCGTCTGGGACTCAGGAGACCTGAGAGCTATTCCCAACTCTGTCACTGGCCTACTGGGTGACCCTGGGCAACTCATGTCTTCTTATCTATAAAAAGGCGTGTAATATTACTGACCTCTTTTGTTAAGGACTAGGACACCTACAACTGAAAAGTGCTAGATAAAAAAAACAAACAAACCTAGTTCTAATATCAACAAAAAACCCTCCCAAAGCAAAACCAACCAAAGTTGATAAAAAACCCTAAAATCCCCAGCAGACTTTTTACTCTGGAAAGGGGAGAAGTGCCAGAGATGCCACAAAATCCACTAACAATTCGCTATTGCTATGCATTTGACATGCACTGTACTCACATACTACAGGGGTGGGCAGCACCATGAAACCATACAATAGAGATCCCAATCATGACCCCATTCTGGTCAGCGCTGGCCATACACACATTGAGGACTACAATAAAAATACTGACTAATAATTGCTATGAAATCCATCCAGGTCTTTTAAACAAAGGAATAAAAGACACAATGCTCCTTATTCCAGCTCCTTTGGTTTCTTATTATTAGTTAATTCCAGGGTGGGGAAGAGGAGGAGAAACCTTCGAGGTTGTTGCACTGAACCATATTTCATTCACTCCCCTCCTCTGTCTCTACCGAACGGCTCAAAGGGATCCAACTCCCTGCAGCTGGCCAACTGTAGATACCGAAAGTTTCAAATAAAAAAAAACTTCCTTATCTTGCTGGGGAGAGAGCATTGGCTTTTAAATGCGACACATTCAAACAGAAAACCTTCTTCTTTAGCCTCTGAAGAGCTTTACACAGAACACAACCTCATTTCTTATTTTCTAACAACAAAATAAACTTCTCCAGTGGCGGTGTCCTTTTAGGTTTATTTTTAAGTATATATTTTCTTCCCTCCCACACAAGCCCATCACTCAGCACTGTAGCAACACCACCTCCCAAGGCTTTGATCCTCTCAGATGTCATGGTAAGCAGATTTGCGCTCAGATAGGAAAGCAAGTGGAGGAAGTGCTATCAGCGAAGGTAAGGAAATGGAAGGCAGTGTTGCCTACTGGCTAGACCAGTGGTTCTCAACCAGGGGTACATGTACCTCTGGGGGTACGCAGAAATCTTCCAGGGGGTACATCAACTCATCTAGATATTTGCCTAGTTTCACAACAGGCCACATAAAAAGCACGAGCGAAGTCAGAACAAACTAAAATTTCATACAGACAATGACTTGTTTACACTGCTCTACACACGATACACTGACATGTAAGTACACTATTTATATTCCAATTGATTTAGTTTATAATTATACAGTAGAAAGGAGAAAGTCAGCAGTTTTTGAGTAATAGTGTGCTGGGACACTTTTGTATTTTTAGGTCTGATTTTGTAAGCAAGTAGTTTAAGTGAGATGTAACTTGGGGGGGGGGGTACACAGAACAAATCAGACTCCTGAAAGGGGTACAGTTGTCTGGAAAGGTTGAGAGCCACTGACTTAGAGCACTGGACTGTGACTCATGAGATCTGGGCTCCCTTCCAAACTCTGCCAGCTAGATAACAGGAGGGAGCATAAAACAGGAACAAGTTTCTACTCCACGCTCTGTCTGTTCTTGGGCAAGTCATGTCATACCTGTGTGCCTCAGTTTCCCCATCTGTAAAATAGGGATAATGATACTGAAAGTGTTTAGCGATTCAACATGAGCCATTTTCCCCTAAGAAGCATAAGATAAGTAATGCCCCCTAAGGAGCACTGTGCTGTCAAAGACCTCCATCTTTAACATGAGCTGTTAAACAGAGGTCCTGACCACTTAGGTTCACTGCACGGGACTCCTCACACAAACTAGAGCCATTAAATCTGGTGCTGTGAGCAAATGTCACCTTGGGTAAATTATACCTGAGAAACAGAGAATTATATTAGCTGAAATGTTTGATTCCTGGTACCCACACCATTCCTATTTGTTGCCGTGCAACTGCAAGGTTGTCCAATAAGCAACAAGTTCAAGTTCAGAGGGATTGTTTTTAAAAAGCATAACACCCAGATGTATTTAAATAAAACAAAACCTACCTTCTGTCATTCCAGGGGACCCTTCTGCCAGCAACTCTCACCCTCAGCTGGAAGGGAAGCCAAGAAGTTTTGCTGAGGGTTTCCCTACCCAGAAGCCTTGGGGGGAAAGAAGTCCTTCCTCCATCTCTCTGGGTGAGTGACAGCCCCACTGGCCAATCAGCTCTCTTTCCTGCACCCTGGGCCCTACAAGAGCTTTACCCCATCGCACCACTGTAGCTCTGATGATTCCTTCCTCTCTCCTCCACAGCTGAGGCTGTGTCAGAACCATAAACCTTCTAGTGAAGGAGCAGTGCAATATGATACATGCCCACCTCATACGCTACGCTCATAGCTTTTGCTTTGCCCAAGGTACAAGAGGCAGGCCCTAGCGGTTATTTGAATAATGGTCCAGTGGTAACCGTACTGGACTGGGAGTAAGGACACCTGGTTCCATACCTAGCTTTGCCACTGGCTCACTCTCCTCCTGGGCAAGACACCCAACCTTTCCATGCCTCAGTTTACCTGCCCATAAAACAGGCATAATAAAGCTTCCCTACCTCAAAAAAGGAACAATTTAAGTGCAATGGAGATTAGTGGACCAAAAATAAAGCCACTGCAGGTGTTTGGCTTAGCTGACGAGCAGATGCACAGGAAAAAAAAAAAGAGAAGAGGGTGTGGGAAGCAAGTCTGTTTGGTGGGGAGAGTTGTGTGACCGCAGAATAATGCCACCTCTCTGCTATATCTGTGGGAGCTGCAGTTTATGTGGCATCATAGTTTTAAAGCACCACAACGGCGAAGAGCACTAAGCCCCTCCTACCTTTGATTATGAACGTGGTTTTTTTAAAGAAGACCCCAAAATATGTTTAAAAGTAACTCAGCGCAGGACCCACACATTCACAAAACGTGAATGGAAATTCAAGCGGCCAATCCATATCTGCTATTAAAACCAGCTCTCCTAAAAGAAATATGTCTTCCTGACAGCTTGACAAGCTATCCCAGGAAGGCAAAGTTATGAACTCAGTGCAGGCTTGAGCTCTGAGGAATTCCTATGCTGTATTTCAAAGCTCCGTGGGTGGGGTGCAAGGAGAACTGTATTTCAGCTGGCAAAACTAACAGTCATGAAAACACAAGAGTTTTGTTTCCTTTGCATCTATTGGTTTTTTTGCATTCATCTGGTAATAATTTAGCAGGGAGTTTTTCCTAACAGGGAGAGAAGGTGCTAAACCCTTTCATTGCAGGGGGAATTTTGTTATCATTCCTATAGGCCCTGAATCAGCAACACACTTCAGATGGGCTTCTCTGATTTAGGAGCACAACTACCATTGTTTTGAGATTTGAGCTCCTAAGTCACATCGGTGCTTGTGAAAATCCCCACCAGTGCATGGTCTCATTGACTGCAATGGCACATGCTTTCATGTTTTGCTGAATTGGGGGCATTGTTCCAAACAGCACGCTAGGGGATTTGCAGACAGGAATGAAGGCAAAGAAAAGGCCCTATCCCAAACAGCTTGCACTCTGGTGCTCTGATCCTGCAAACACAATGGGCGACAATTCTCTTAGTTGATACAAGGACTTGAAACAGGTACCTAAAGAGCTGAAAGCCTGGCCATCTCTAGCCAGACCCATAGCCTCTGTAACTGGGTGCTGAGGGAGATCAGTGATACACCCAGAGCAGTGGGCTACACAAACACACATGGATCTAATCCCCATAGAATCCAACGGCCACGTGTAAGATTTTGCAGCGGGCGAGGCTAAGCAGACCTTGTAGGGAATGACAGCTGGGAGACAGCACCAAATGCAATGGTTAAACAGGGAGTGTCACATCTGCGCTGGAATTTTGTTTGGATTTCTTCTCACCCAATTGAAAAATGCTTCTCCGCAGAGAGACACGGCTGCCTCGCTGGCCATGGGGGCCAGGGCCTCATGTGAGGACTGGTTTCACTTCATTTGAGGCACGGTTTCAGCGGGGGTGTGTGGCCTGAGGATATTTTAGGGCTCAGTGCACAGGCCTCATTTGATCACTGTTCCATTCTGGCCCTGGGGTCTGTTCTCCATCACATACTCTACCTTGTATTCTGCTCATCAAAAACTCTTGGCCACATGCTCTCCTCCACTGCATGCATGCCACTTTCTGCGGTTGACGTGGTGTTGCACTGAAGGGGGCACACGGCTGACTGACTGGGGTGCAGCGGTATTACAATGTGTCCAGAACCATTTACTTTGCAAGAGCTAATGTGGAGTGAATACAGCTAAATCCTAATATTGTAAATTCTGATTTTACTAACAGGGCAAAGGGCTAGGCTGAGGGGCAGGTGGAAAATGTCAGTGCTCTCTTAGTTGTGTCTCTCTAAAACAAAATTAAATTTAACAAACAGAGCAAGGGACAGATCCTCATCTGCTGGGAATCAGCATCGACTGCAATACAGTTACAGCAAATTAAAGCCCGTGAGGATCTTCCCCAAGCGTATACAGGACAATAGAAGTTGTAGAATTTGATTGTTTCCTTCTCCCTGCCCTTCATGGTGTTGCTTGTTGTCTTAGATCATAAGATCATTGGGGCAGGGACTGCATCCATCCCTATGTTCAGTGCCTAGCGCAACCGATGCTGACTGGGGCCCCCGAGTGCTACCATAATATATCAAATACAAACCCTTTTTCAATCCAAAACTCCTTTGCATCCCCCAGCCCAAGAGCAGCTTATTGTGTCAAGCAAAGCTTTGAATCATCATTTGCATTACATGAACAGCTCTGGCAACTGAGATCAGTACCCCGATGTGCGGGGTGCTGCCCATACACATAGTTAGAGACAATTCTTTCCCCCAAGAGTTTGCAATTTAAGTAGACAAGGGTCAGAGAAAGGAAGAGTTGTTGTTATACCCATTTTGCAGATGGGGGAAGAAAGGCATAGAGCGATTAAAGGGCAGATTCTCCAAAGTACTCAGCATGTTGGGTGCGGACTGTGGGCTCTTTTGAAAATCTGGCTTTTATTTAGGGGCCCAAATCGGATCCAAGCTCTTTTGAAAAGTTGTTTAAATTGGGGTTGCTGAGCACTAGAAAAAAACCCACCCTTTAGAGACTTAGCAACAGGCCGTGGTTGAGGTCCCACTTGAACCTAGACCTTGAGAGAGCCAGGCCAGTACTGTCCCCACAAGACCACCGTTGCTGTCCAGGGCATGTTTGCTTTTATATGTTTATCCTTTTCAACTGTACATTCCTACTCACACCCTAGAGAAAGAAAGACATTCATCTCATGTTGAGAGCTGAGGGGAAAATAAATAAAAGGTCCTTTTGCTTTGAGTCGCAGCCCTTCAGGATCTCAAAAGCTTTTTTACTCTCCACAATCCTGAGCAGCACCGTATGTATCTTTGTCAGCTCTCACCTGGTCCATAAGAACATGATTGATTCCTGCATTCAAGACCAGCGCTGTCTCTTTCCAAAAGGTCAGCGGACTGGCTTTTGTTGAGCTTGTCTATTGTGATCCCTTCCCTCTGCTTTCGCTCACTTTTACTAATTTCCTTTGGCGCTGTGCCCTGCAAACTTGACACCCTCCCATGGAGCTGTATGCTTAATTTCCATGCTATTGGATTTCGCTGCTTGCAGGGAGCCATGAGTCAGCGCACGAACTGGGGGGAGGGAGAGACAGAGAGGGGAAGAGGCAGAGGCGGGAGAGGTTTTGGAGTGGAAGCATTAATAGCTTGTCCAGCATCCATTACGGCGAAAATGAAAAATGGAAGGCTATTACTCACAGACACCGCTCGCTGCCTGAAAATCCCAATATGAAAGTATGCAGCAGCGGTGCTGGGGATGCTCATTAACATTGGATGAGAATTAGGGATGAGCTAATTGAGCTAGCAGATTAAGGTCCCCTTAGGGAGAGGAAGGAGAATTCCCTGAAGGGCTCAACCTAAAGGGAACCTGCTTAAGCAGCAGCAGGTCCCTCTCTGGCTTCAGCTGGCTGCTTCTGTGATTCAGCAGGTTGGGGAAATCTCTGGGCACAGTCAGGATCAGCACTGGTTTAATTGCACAGCCAAGATCAGGGGTGGGTTTCTCCCCTGCTTTGCCTATGTGCATTCACCAGTTTTAAATTAACCCAGAAGGGGAATACCAGGGTTCAAGTTGCTCTTGACAATAATGCATTATGTCATATATTAAAAAACACACACACACTTTGTTTCAAGACAGTTAAGACCCATCAGGGCCCATGCCCCCGACTCAAAACCTGAAGAGCGTGGCAGTAACAAGTTAAGGGGAAGTCTCCTGTGTTCCTTGCAACTTTCACATGGCCCACAACACTTTCAGTTGTACGCTCCCTCACTCCAGAAGGCTTCCTCGTCCACTTTCCACAGCTACCAAAAAGCGACAAACCCAACACATACAGACAGGTTTCAGAGTAACAGCCGTGTTAGTCTGTATTCGCAAAAAGAAAAGGAGTACTTGTGGCACCTTAGAGACTAACCAATTTATTTGAGCATGAGCTTTCGTGAGCTACAGCTCACTTCATCGGATGCATACCGTGGAAACTGCAGCAGACTTTCCACGGTATGCATCCGATGAAGTGAGCTGTAGCTCACGAAAGCTCATGCTCAAATAAATTGGTTAGTCTCTAAGGTGCCACAAGTACTCCTTTTCTTTTTGCCAACACATACAGAACTCTATCCAAACCCACAGTCTAGGGCAAAGGCACATTTGCAACCTCACGCACTCTTGTATCAAGAGACTTGCACAGCTTACTGATGTCCCAGACACGTGGGAAATTATTCTAGCTAGCTCTCTAGAGTGTTTACCTGGCCTCTATTATAGTAATATCGGAGAACCTCCCAATTTTCAGTGTAATTACCCTCACAACTCTCCTGGGAGGTAGGGCAGTGCTACTGTCTGCATTTCACAGAGGAGGAACCGAACACAAAAAGGCTAATTGACTTTCCCAAGGGAGCAGATGGAGCTTGAAGTGAGGTCTTCTAATTCCTAGGCTAGCACCCTAATCACTGGACCAACCTCCTGTCTGCCTTCCTATTGCCAAGCCGTAAGCATGTGAGCCTGTGTTCACCCACAGGCATTTACGTGTGTGTGCATTTAGTTGTGAGCATTAGTGTGTGAGTGCGTGTGGTTGGGAGGTCAATCGGTCCACAGTTCGGTTCTATTCTATTCATGTT